AAGCGCCTCACGGTGTGGACCGAGTTGGCTCGTTCCCGCTGGTGGGGGCTTTCGGCGAGGTTCGCCGATGGGCTGGCTCTTTGTATTTGTCTAAGATTACAGTTTGTTTCTCGTATGGCTTTAAGCCACTTTTGTTATGCCCGGTGAACCTCGATGTCGGGTCGTCCTTGCGTGGGGGACCTGACACGGAGGTCGGTTTCAGGTCGACCTTTTGTAAAGAGCTGGGAAACTCGGTTTGCATCTTCACGGATGCTTCGCGATCGGAGGGTGCTCCCTTTTCAGGTTACGCGTTAGTCTCACAGGATGAAGGATATCTGCGCCGCTTTAAGTCAGTGGGTTTTGTTTTATTCTTCTGCGTGGAGGCCATGGCTGTCGTCGAGACCTTGGAGCTGGCTCTAGCGGAGGGGTGGCGGGCTGTCACGGTCTTTTCGGACTCGCGATCGGTTCTTTCAGTTGTTCAGGCCAGGTTCAATCCCAGCAGCAGCTCGTATCTTGTACTTCGGATTAAATTTCTGATGTTGGAATTGTCTGATCGAGGCGTAGAGGTCAGGTTGATTTGGATTCCTGCTCATTGTGGAATAGCCAGCAATGAACGAGCCGATGCTCTCGCAAGAGACGCCGTTAGGTGTGGTCGAGACTCACGCGTGGGCGTACCTCTAGGAGAAATCAAGAATTTTTGGAAATCAAGGATAAGATCGGATCTGATAACGTGGTGCCGAAGGGAGGCACAGAGAAAGGGTAGTTTTTATTGCGGTCGCTTCTTACCCACTGATAGGCGACCGTGGTTCGAGTCCTGGAATTTGAATCGGAGATCTGTGATCTCTATTAACCGCCTCCGCAGCGGACACACCTCACTGCGCGCGAGCCTGCACAGATTTAATATAGTGGACTCGCTCCTCTGCCAGGCGTGTGGCCTGGAGGAAACGGCAAACCATGTTTTTTGGGAATGCCCAGAATATGAAGAGCAACCCTGATAGCCACCTGTCTGTTTTTGCTGTCATGTTGCCGAAAACAAAACGCTTGAGTTTTCAGTAAATTTAGAACAAGGTCAGGCATTTGTCTTTGGTTTGACATGACACGTATTCAACATGTGTTGCCGACATTTTGCTGTATATTTGCTGTCGACGGTTTATCACTAACATAAAGAGCAACATGACAACAAGTTGTCAACAACACGTGTCATAAATTTCAGCAAAAATACAATATGTCGAAAACGGACAAATATATATATATGGGTGGGATTTGAACTAGAGATTTTCATATTTGCAATTTCTGCACTCAGTCCGCGAGACTACTTGTTCCTAAAATATAATTATTTTTTAATCGACGTTGATGTTGTTTTGACTTGGGTTCTTAACGAATTAAAAATCTCTTGGTTTTGATCGGGCAAGTTTGAACCGTTGTGCAGAGTGTTGTGCAAATATATTGAAAGCAATATCTTTTATCCAAGCGTTTCGGTTTTTATTTTAAACCTTCTTCAGTGGATTACTAAAATTTGTGTATTTACATGTGTTTACATTGGAGGTAATCTTAATAATTTTACAATTAAAATAATTTTAACGGAGACTTTGATAATTATTTTTGTCTACTTATTCTAAAAAACGGTCATTCGTTTTTGACATTTAATGGGCTACAAAATAGAATAAATATATGTCAACAGTTTTTACCAACCATACGACAGAAGTACAGACATCGGTGTCTTGTTTTGTTACCGTCATGTTGCTCTTATGTTGCCAAAAACGAATAACAAAGCAAAAAGTTTTCTATGAATAAAAGTCATTTTGTTGACAACGTAATAAACAATAGTTGCTCTTCGTTTGCTCTGAATCTGCTGACACAAAATGTCTCAAATTTGCCCTCGTGTTGTCGATTACGTATGACTATGCATCATGTTTTCAGCAAATACATAGCAACTACTTTAAAACTTTAGCTCAGCATGAAGTTACATCATTTTGCAAAACATGCTTGGCTATCAGGGAACGTAAACCCCTACGATCCGCGCTGGTCCGGGCGATCGGATTCCTCCCTCACCCGGTCGAATCCCTGATTGCCTGACAATTACTCTGACAAAGAGATTACGTTACCCATCTGCTGATTTATATGTTTTATACCATTATTTATTTAATCTTTTAAACAAAGTTGGATTGCATCAGCCGTATCGGTTGGATGTACGTAGTTACGCTGTGAATATTTTTGGACAATTGTCGGTGTTTTACACCACATTTCCGGTGTTTTATACCACTTTCTTTATTATTATCTTTAATTTAAACAAATATACAACTCCGTGGCGTCAGGAACCCAATCCACGGTTTTAAACCTGTTATCAAAAAGACATAGAATGGCGTATGGACTAGCTTTATAGATCCACTGAGCCAAAAGAGCACCAAACCAACCTTAATCTTTTAAACATTTTATTATGCCTCCACTTAGCTTATGGTGGCTCACAAGACAATGATAATCATAAGAAAAACTTTTATCTTATTTGTTTCTCTTTTTATAAAACTTTAAGTTTCTTTCGTCGACTCATTTCTGATTACATTTGTTACTTTTGTTTGCACTTAGATACACTAAGTGCAATTCGCCGATCTCATCTTGATTACTATAAGCATTAATTTTAAGGTTCGTTCATTGGGAGAGTACCATATACATACATCTCCCGTTCTTTGTTCACTCCACCTTGGGAACTTTCCAGCTACGTACACAGGCGACACTGTGCCTATTAGTGTGAGAAAGAGCATATCAGTGTGTTTCACTCACACTAGTGGACACTGTGTTGCACAGTGTCGCCTGTGTATGTAACTGAAAAGCTCTTTGTATGCAAAATCTTAAACCGTCCTGTCATACAATGTACGCCTTATAGGAGCAATCCTGCGGCATATGTATATTTTCTCTAACAAAAAAATATAAGCAATAAGTTTTCGTCTGCGTTCCAATATTCACTGCCAGTACTAAAAATCTATACTTTACGTCACATGTGCTCTACATTTCCAGACTGGCAGTGAATATGGGAACGCAGCTTTAAACAGTAAGCGAATCAACCAATCACAGTCGAGCAGTAACGTCTGAATTCAGAGCCTTCCAACTCGCGCACGGCGTGCGGTTTGCGCATATATGTAATACTCCTATATTGCTAGTACGGTGCCGACCTGAAGCTCACCGTTACGGTGCAGACAATATAGTAGCCTCTCTCTCCAGCTGCTTTGTGCGCATGCGGTGAACATTGGGTGCGTTCAGACAACTCAACAGTTGCACAACTGTTGAGAGATAATCACTTCTGATTGGATCATACTTTTGGAACCGCAGCAAATTTTGAAGAATAGTCCTATCATAAGTGATAATCTCTCAACCGTTGAGTTGTCTGAACGCACCCATTCAAGCTTGCGCATTTCTCTTTTTCGCGTTCTTTCTCTCACTTTCTAATGCTTTGTCTCGCTCGCACTCACTTGGTAGATGCGCCTGCGCATAATGACGCTCGACCATCTATGCTCATATTTGGACTTCGTGCGTCTCCCTTTCTCGGGCCTCGTGCCTCTCATTGCGAAGATACGCGACTAGCAATATAGAAGTATTACATATATGGGTTTGCGCCATAAAATTTCTACGCAATCACATGATCAGTTGGAAAACTCTGTCTTAGGGCCATTACACGTGAAAAAATTTTAGCCGTAACCGTAAGGTCGTAAGCAATTTAACCAATTACAGACCAGTATTATCTTACATTAGTTGGAATGCTGGCCAGCGATTGGTCGATTTGCTTACGACCTTGCGACTACGTCTAAATTTTTGCTACGTGCAATGGCCTTTAATTGCCTTATTGCTTGATTATGATTGGTTGATAAATATGCTTATACGTTTTTTCAGTAGTTTCCGAATGTTTCCAATAAGACACACAAACACTGAACTGTAATATAGAACGCGCCTTGCCATTTTGCGAGCTGTCCGCGATAGAGAGCTTCACAGCTAGGATCTCTGTCTTTGTCTTGTCGCTGATTGGTTGAAATTTGAACGAGTACAGTCCGAGACAAAAGAACAACGAAAAGTGAAGAATGACTGCGTTCAGCAGAAATCAGCGCTTAGCAATTGCTGAGCGCTAATTTGTATTTTACAATAAAAAATAAATTTTCTTATTATAATGAATAAAATAATAAGTATTATAAATAAAGCATCTAAATAAATAAAACTAAATATTGCACAAATGCAGGTACAAATGATTTGTTGAAAGAAACGTGATTAATTTGTACTTAAATAACTACCATGGAATAAGATTGTAAACGTGACTCTAATTTTGTTAAGAAAAAATTTATCCTGAAAAAAAAATATGAATAAAAATAATATTCTAAATAAAAAATTTTATTTAAATTACACAGCCACACCAAAAAAATTTTTTTCTGATCTGAGAGTCTGACCATGTTTACTATATGTTTTTGGGGTCGCTGAATCCGAATCCGAGGTCTATTTAACCTCATCACATCAAGATTTTGTCATAACCTCAAAAAACTCATAATTTAAGCTATTAAACACATATAACCCTAAGATTGAAGTTGTAATCTGAAAACCCAAGTTCTTAAACCCCATAACTCACTTAACCCCATAACCCACTTAATCTCATTTTTTTTTTACAAGGGGAAATCTTTTATGGATACCCCGGCCTGTAAGAGCAGACCAAGATTATGTGGGATTACTTCAGAAGGAGCGTACCCACTAAAACCACCTTGAGGCTCCTCGTGCGCTCTGGGAGGGAACATGGAAAGCCGGAAGACTGTAACGTCACGGTTTCCTTCCCGCGTCTGGGTGCCACTCACATGGCACCGCACCCCCGCGACGACAGAAGGGAGCCTATCCCCTCCTGCCGACTCCTGTGTTCGCGTGCAATGTCCGAGAAGGCCCTTACCTTCCCGGACTGCGAACTTTGACTACCCTCTCTCCCGCCTGCTGTGGGGTAGTTTTAGGACATCCCAACGAGACGAGGGAGAAACGAGTCCCTTTTTCCTGCGCTAGAACTAAGGAACTTGGTCCCCAGCCCTTATCCGGACCAGAAACTGACCTTGACGCAGGCGCTCCACGTCTTCCTTAACGCGCAGCACCTTCTCGCAGAAAGTGAGGAAGGTGCGCCACCTCTCGAGGTCCCCGACCGCCTGTCGGAAGACAGACGGGAGGGACACGTCAGGGCCGAAAGCCTCGTGCAAGGCCGCTCTCTCCTCACTCCACGTGGTGCACTCTTCGAGAGTGTGAGCCGCAGTGTCGACCGCAACTCCGCAGTGCTCACACTCCGGGGTGCCCACCCTGCCTATTCGGTGCAGGAATGTACCGAACACTCCGAGGCCCGTAACCATCTGGGTAGATCGGAACGTTATCCAGAGGTACGAGCGCTCCACCCAGTCTACCAGGACCGGCCCCACTGCTTCCCGAACCCTCTGTCTCGGGAGAAATGGGTTCTCTAAACGGTGCTGCCACCGCAGCACCATTTGTTCGTGGGCCCTTGACCGGGCCTGCCGAACTTCCTCCGGATTCAGATCCCGGCCAGCTTCACGCGCCTTCTCCAGCGCCGCTTGTACACCTCGGCGTACGCACTCGCCAACAAGTCGACTAGGGAGATCCGCGCGAACACTCGAACGGATTCGAGAGCCGCGGTTCGATAGGCCCGCACGACCCGGCCTCCCACCAGTCGCTGAACCGAGGCCAACGGGGCTGCCGCCCGGCCTACCCCAATCTCCCTGTGCCACACCGGGGCACTATACATCATGACAGAATGTACGACGTTAGAGTATAACTTTCGCACACTCTGCCGCGGACCCTCAAGTTTGGGGAGGAGCCGACTCAGAGCCCAGGCCACCTTGCGGGCCTTACGGGCCACGTAGTCGAAGTGGACTCCGAATTTCCATTTTTCTTGTCGTCCACTTGGAGACCCAGGTACTTCATGTGGGAGGTGGACTCCACCCGGGTTAACCCTACCCACACCGTTACACGGTCGCCCCCCCCCCCGACAGCGAGAAGGTCGGAAGACCACCGCCTCCGTTTTTGCTGATGCCAGTACCAGGCCCAGCGGCTCCATGCGGCGGGACACCGCCGCAATCGCCAAGGATGCCCGCTCCGTCGCCACCCGTTCGTCGTGTCCACCCGACAAGACAAGGGTGTCGTTCGCGTAGCAAACGAGCGAGCACCCCGGCGGGAGCGGTGCCCTCAAATCCCACGTCCCACAGGACGTCCAAGAACGGACCCCTGTGGGACGCGTCACACGTGACGCGGTGGGTGCAAACGCGCCCGTCTACGCACGGGAACACAACGTGCCGGTCGGACAGATAACTGTCCAACACGGCACGGAGATAGGGTGGAAACCCCCAGTAACCCCCCGCCTCGCGAATTCCCCCCCACGACAGGATATTGAAGGCGTTGCGCACGTCGAGGCTAACCGCGACGCACGCCCCGCCTCCCCGCGTAAACTCTTCCGCCACGGAGCGGAAGCGGAGGACCGCGTCCACCGTTGAAAGGCGCGGGCGGAACCCGTACTGGCTCGCACTGAGCCCCCCTTGCCGCGCTAGCGCATCCTCTATCCGGCGAGCCAGGACTCGCTCGAAAAGCTTGCCAAGCTCGTCCAGCAAGCATATAGGCCTGAAGGACGGCGGGCCGCCTTCCGGCGCAGCTGGCTTCGGGATGAGTACGAGCCTGGCTCGCCTCCACATTTCTCAGGGAACGCACCTTCCCTTAGGCACCGGTTGAAACACCGGAGAACATGCTCCGATGCCTTGGTGCACACACCACGCAGGGTAGGCCATCCGGGCCGGGGGCAGTGCGACACCCAGCAATCTTCTTGGCCAAGGAGCGGAGCTCCTCCGCTGTCACCGCAAACTCCCGACCCCACTGGAGTTCCTCTCGGAGCACAGGGAGACCCTCATCCCTGGGGGGAAACAGGGTGTTAACGACCCCTTGGATCTTCTCCACTTCCATGGTCTCGGTGACAGCCGGACTCGCCGCTCGCAGCTTGGACAACACCAGGCGGTACGGGGTACCCCAGGGATTTTTGTCCAAGCCGGCGACGAGCTCCTCCCACGCTCCCTTTTTCGCGGCCAAGATGGCGTGCCGGAGTTACCGCTGCGCGTTGCGGAAGGCGCGGCGCAGCACCTCCACCACTCCCGGAAGATGGCGTCTCCGGCTTCTGGCCCGCGTGTACCGACGCCGGGCCAGGACTCAAAATCGGCGGAGGACCGCAATGTCCTCCGACCACCAATAGGTGGACTTCCTCGCCACGGCCCTCCTGACACGCAGCATGGAAACGTCGCAGGAGCCGGTCACCACCCCGGTGAGCCATGCCGTCTCTTCGCTCGAGGACGCCTCCCTTTCGGAGGGCAAAAGTGCGGCGTCAAAACGGTCCAGGTCCCATTCCCGGATCTTCCATCTCGGGAACGGGGACCGACTCGTCACCGGGGCATGCCTCGCGCGCTTCGTCACCTTGAAAGAGATGAAGAGTTGGTCGGACAGCGACTCCTGCTGTAACACCGACCACCCCCGCACCAAAGAAGCAACCGGCGCCGTCCCGAGCGTAAGGTCTACCACCAAGGACTCCTGAAGACGGACGCAAGTCGGCGCCACACCCTCGTTGAGGACCCGGAGGTCCAGGCCCGCCGCCCACTTCTCAAGCACACGTCCACGCCAATCCGTTCGGGGAGAGCCCCATGCCAAGTACCAGAACGGAAGCTCCCCCGACTCGTGCGATGCTGGACTCCAGAAAGTCCAGGAATCTGTCCAGGTCAGCCCGCGCGCAGTTGGGGGAAACGTAACAGCTGTATGCTGCGAGTCTCTCTCATTTCACAGCCACGAACCCGTGGCCCCTATCAACCACCCCGCGGACTGCCCCCCCGGGACTTCCTGGTCGGTAAACCCACGTGATGGCCGCCACGTCGTCAACGTCCCCCGCCCACATGGGGGACTCCGGGACTCTCCAAGGTTCGGCGAGTGCCAGGACACCTGCCTCCCTCTCTCGCTTGACTTGGAGCGCCAAGTCCTGCGCCGGCCCGCTGTGATTAACGTTAATTTGAACCACGCGGGCCATCGTGGTCTTCAGTTTCCATGGCCTCTTCGTGGCCATGGGCGACCGCCCTCCGCTCGGTCGCGTTTCCACCCCTAGAGCCGTTACGCCCCTTGTGGCGTGAGGGGCACGCCTCCCCTTCTAGTCTGTGCGCCGACGGAAGACCGCGGTTCGCACAGAGAATGCACCGGGCCAGGCCCTGGCACAGCCGCGAACGGTGACCGGACTTGCCGCACCTGTAGCAGGTGTCGCTTCGGTCCACCGTGTTCTTGCACATCTGCCTGACGTGGCCAGACTCCAAGCATTTGAAGCATTGAAGCTGGCGGCCAGGCAGAAGCACAACCTTAGCACTCGACTATCCTACGCGTAGGCGGGCGAGCTCGGCCACATTAGTGGCCACATCCAGTGGGCACCTCACCCAGACGGCACCCAGACGGCACCCAGACGATCCCTACCCTCTGTCACAGGGCCTACTGTGACTTCGGACTCTCGGCAACCACTGAACTCCACCGAGCACAAGAGTGCCACCAAGTCCGCCGCGGATACGGACTCGTCCAGGCCGGTGATCCGCAGCTCGCCCTTCCGGACTGGGCGAGTCACTACGGCCTTCCCCTGTAAAACAGAGGCCAAGGCATCTGCCAGCCGATCCGCCTTTGCCGCACCGTTGGGGCCCTCGATCTCTACTAAGATCCCACATCCCACGTTCTTTCTGACGCGTGTCTCCTCTATCTCAAGGTCAGATAGTGAGACCTTCTCACGCGCGAGCCGCATAACATCGGCGTATGACGGCTCTCCGGAGTCGCCAGGAACGCATCTTACGGCCACTGCTGCAGCCGTACGCCGGCGTCGACGACAACGGCCTCCGTCACTGGCAGGGGCCAGACGCTGCCGGCTCTTGCGTCTCCCAGGAGAGCCGAACTTGCGCCCGAACCGACGGCGCCGCGTCCCGAGGGACTTCTCCCTTTGCACTGCGCACAGCAGTGCGCCCGCCGCGACGGGCGACCGTAGTCCAATCTTCACTGGGGATCTTTTCCCGAGCACTCGCGGTGCTCTCGATCGTCCCGGCCCCGACTGGAGTTGGACCGCCCCCCGAAGGGTCTCTCTTCGGTGCTCGTAGCCGGGACGATCGACCACCGCTATCTCCCGAACCACCGAAGTCCGCCACCACATTCAGGAGTTGGTGGAGCAACTCCTGAACACTCCCGAGTTGGCGCTCTATTGTCGCCACTTGGTTTTGGAGAGCTCTGTCGCCGCCGTCCTCGCCCTGAACAACAATTCGGGCCTCTTCCAAAACCTTTGTTTTCCCGCACAGCTTAGGACGAACCGCTGGCGGGACAACCGTCCCCGGAGGGAGAACCTTCACGGAGATGAAGACCGGGCCTTGAAGAGGGTCTGTTTGAACCGACATCTCCCGTGTCGGGCATCCTCCTACCGCGCGGAAGGGGGGCCGCGGCATTTTGCTGCTCGAGCCGTTCGCGGAGATCAGCCATCTCCCTGCGAAGGATGTTATTTTCCGACTCCAGCAGCTGGAGTTTATTGTCGCGTTTCGCGGCCTCGTTCTCCGCGTGTCGTACGCGTAGGCGAAGTCTCACGTCGGTCGCGTCTGACACGCACAAAGCCAGGGCTTTCGCTGCCCTCTCCATGGAAGCCGCGAAATTTTTAAAGTCGCGAATATACCCGCCCTTGAGCCTTTTGCACCGAGAAACCTGGTCTACAAATTTCTTTCTCTCACATCTCACGTAGTCCGCAATCTCTGAGGGAGGCAAGCTCTCGAGGGAGGCTACCGCATCCTTCCCTTTTGTTTTCGTCTTTGCGGCGGATGGCGGCCGCGTTTCTTCTTCGTCGGCATCATGAACCGACATGTGCTCCGATCCACTGGCGGGGAGTGATGTGGACAAGACTCGGGGCCTGGCACGGGGCTGTGTTCCTGCCCGTTTCGTCTTCTGCGACACGGTCGTCTTGCGTCGCTTTGATCTACTTCGGCTTCGGCTCGAAGTAGAATTCTTCGAGGAAATCTCTATCACAGAGGAGTCCTGGTTTCTTTTCGCCGCCGGCGTGCTGCGACGGAACAGGTTCTTTCTCGCAGCGCCCATCTCTCAGACGGATCTTCGGCCTCGCTCCCTGGTGATAGAGAGCGTTCACCCTCCGATGGGACGCTTAGAGCCATAGCGCCGGAGATGCTCGGAGCTCTGGACGCCCAAAACGTGCTACTACCCGCAGTAGCATTAGACTACGGAGCCTGCGTCGCACTCCGTAGCCAATTTTTCGCCGGATATCGATCGAGCGGGGGCAGGGCTATCACCCCCGAACTGCCGAGACCTAAGGCTCCGAAACCCTTGGTCCGGTAAGTTTAATTCCTTCTGAGACTGTTCCATGGTGCTCATTAGGTGGTTTTTTGTCAGGATTTCCGTCCTTTAGACCGGCTGCCCACACAGGGCTAACAAACCCGGTCTGCCCGAGAACACTCCTCTTAGTCTGGCAGGTCCAGGAAGGCCTGTCCGGCAAAGTAGAACCTATCAGAATTGAAGTCCCGCCGGCATAGCCCTTCCCTTTATCCCTGCAACGCAAGTCCGGGCCCCACGACAAGAGGGAAGCGTCCAAACGCGCCCGGGTTAATCCCATAACTCAATGTACATCAACTCCAATAACCACATATGTCAGACATTTAACTTGATATGTACGTTATTTTAATAACCGCATAACTCTGGTCATTGTACTTTTTCTCGCAATTTTTGTTTTGTCTCACAAGGGGAGACTACGACAATGGAACAATCGATTTGGACGAAACTTATAGGATCGATAGATGATTATGTGGAGTATTGCAGGGTAAAGTAATAAGAAGCAGTACTCAAGCATTCGCGAGAAAATCGAATTTGAAAATTTCGAGTTACTTTATAAGGATATTAAATAGATCGTTTAATCGAAGAGCGCGTAGCGTACTAGGTTAGTAGTGTCGACGCTGCTGGTTCGAGTCTTGATATATTTTTTTTTTTCAAATGTTACAATATAATCTAAATGTAAATATTACATTTTTTATTTATTTATTGCATGTTATAAAAGTGCATTTTTTGCATAAAAAATCTGTGATATAAAACATACGGTAAAAATAACACAGCCACACAAAAAAAAAAATTTCTTTGGCCTGGGGATCAGACCATGTTTATTATATGTTTTTGGGGTCGCTGAATCCGAATCCGAGGTCCATTAAACCCCATCGGGTCGGAGTTCCGCCATAACCTCAAAAAACACCATAATCTGAGCTCGAAACCCATATATAATCTTTTGATTCAAGCCACAAAAACCAGTGCTATTGAAAACCCATGCTATTGAACCCCATGACCCATTAACCCCATAATCCCATAACCCTATATCCCCATAGCTCCATAAGCCTATCACGGTGATTAAAATGTCAATCATTCATGACCAAAGATTTCCTAAATTTATGGAATTAAAT